GCTAATGAGCTCCTGCACCTCTTTTTCCACAAAATGACCCCTGGGTATAAGGACTCAGGCCCTGACCTGGACAGAACAGATTAGCCCAATCTCACCATATCTCGGAAGCTAAGCAGGGTCAGTCCTGGCTACTATTTGGTGGGCAACCTCCAAGGAATACCAGGGATATGAAGCGGAGCCAGGCCATGGCAAGCCACCTCTGATCTGTCCCTTGCCTTGGAAACCCCAGCAGTGGTCGTCATCGGTCAGCTGTGACTTGACAGCAGTTTCCACCTTTCCACCATAAGGACTTAGAGAACTCTATTCCTACTACTATCTGACAAAGGGAGATTTGTCTCGCTTCCCAAAAATCTTATTGGTCTCTACAGTGCAACTGGACTTGAATGCAGCCCTACTACTTGTGCAATTCAGTCCTGCAAATATTTAGGAGGGTGGAAGGGTCCACTGGAAACAGAGTGGACATGACAGCCAACTTGCCCTACAAGCGAGAGTCCATGCGTCACTGCGTTGTATGTGACAGAGGAACACAACAACACAATATCCAGCAATAAATTCACCATAGGTCATGTCAACGCAGCAAGATGTTCCATGTGAAAATGCCATTTGGGCTGCTGGAGTGACAATTCTAGCCTCTTGTACAGGAGATCCACACAGCTTTTTGTGGAGCCTCACTATTTACCAAAATATCTGTATATTATCAGCCATTGCTCTAGAACAGTGACAGGCATCCTGTATTTTGGGAATCTCTGGGGGCTCTGGAAGCCTATTTTATCTGCCTTATTTACAGTCCATCTTTCTGAGACTCAAGGTGGACTGTACAGTGCAAGTCAATACCCACAACAAGTTGGGATGTCCAATAAACAATGCAATAGAATTTGGATTGCTGAAATTTGAAAACCAGAAGAAATATGAAACTGAGCTGAAACAAAGCATAAGCACTGAAACACGACACATTAAACGATGCACAAATTACATAGTAGCGAGCACACTTACAGCAACAGACAGTAGTACAGCCCATCATCCCTATATCTTTGCCTGAGCATCTTTCTGAACCATTTCATTACAGCACAGCCATATTACCTGTGTGAAAAAAGTCTATCTTCTCACCTATGAAAACAGCGGTAGTGGGATACAATAGGGTTACCAACCTCCAGGTGGGGCCTGGAGTTCTCCTGGACTTAGAGCAGATCTGCAACTAGGCAGTCAAGAAGGGGGCACACGGGCATCCCTGCAGGGTTGGGGAGGGGAAACAGCTGGAGCAGCCTTACTTACGATCTGAAAATCGTGAACTTCAGTTGCCTCTTCACTTCCACTTCCAGTTTTAAAGATCTCCAGATTGTTTCCAGCATCGATTTCCATTGATGCCTCTTGTACTTTCCCATTAATACTCATTGTGTAGTGGATGTTGTAGAGCTGGAATCAAAAGCAACATCTTTTAGATAATAATTGTGATGACCGCTTCTGTCACGCAAGTGGCACTGACTAGCTTACCATTTCAGTGTGATGAAATCCTGGGAGGGCTGTGAGAGAGCCAGGTGTACATAATCGCATTCTAGTTCCTCAAATAACTCTGTGAGGCAAGATTCAGGTGGGGTCGGCCATGTTGGTCTGGAGCTACAGAACAAAGTTTGAGTCCAGTGGCACCTTGAAGACCAACGAAGTTTAATTCGGGCTGTGCCACTGGACTCAAACTTTGTTCTGTGAGGATAGATCCAGGTGGGGCCGTGGGCCGTGTTGGTCTGAAGCAGCAGAACAAAGTCTGAACCCAGTCAGGCCCCTTGGAGACTAACCAAAGTCCTATTCAAGGTAGGAGCTTTCGTGTCCAAGGCACCCTGTTTCCGATACAATGAAATGGAAAAAGAAATGTCACAAATATAGAGGGTGGGCACCATACAGAGTAATGAAGGTGTTTTCAACAGATTAAAAGAATAATAAGCTTAGTATATATGGCTATAAATTGTCTGGGTTCTATATGTCTGACTGTTCTTTCTATTTCCATTTCATTGTACCTGAATAAGTGTGCCTGCACACGAAAGCTCATACCTTGAATAAAACTTTGCTGGTCTTAAAGGCGCCACTGAACTCAAACTTTGTTCTATGAGGTAAGTTAAACAGAGAAATTGTGATTAACCATCCAGTAAACGTCACAGCCATGAAGGGGTTCGTTCCCTCATCTCCATGGTCCAGATCTCACATCTCGTCTTCAATGTGGTAACAACTCTACTCCTGTTTAAAAAGAACCAACGCCAAGAGAGCACAAAAGGCCACCATTCTGAGGGAGGTTTCAGAGGGCAGCCATGTTGGTCTGCAGTAGAACAGATTCGAATCCAGTAGCTCCTTAGAGACCAAGAAGATTTTCAGGGTATCAGATGAAGGGAGCTTTGAAAGTTCATTCCCCGCAAAATCTTGTGGGTCTCTAAGGTGCTGCTGGACTTGAATCTGGCAATTCTGAGGGAAAGTATGTCGAAGAAAGTCCTCCTTCTGGGACCTAAGGCCAGTTTTAGAGTATTCTGTTCTGAATACAATTATTAATTAATCAGTTAAAGCAACAGAATTAAAATACGGACAGTTCTGTTTAAAACCACCTCTACTAAGTTCAATATGTCACTGAGTGTTTCTGTGTTATAAACGGTCACAAGCTAGGAGGCTGACAATGGACACAGTATTACCCAAATGCCTCCAGGTAAGCCGCTCTCTGGAGGAAGAGAATTCACCAGGAATGGCAAAGGGGAATGCTTGCAGGATTGATGAAATCCTTAACTTTATGACTAGAAGTGCCTACAGTGCTCTCGAGCTCTGGCTCTGAAAGCACAGGAGAGGAGAAATGTTCGTGTTGGAACGAGAGAAAAATAAAATGCCTGAAGAATTTGGCCAAATACCCAAGAAGAAATCTGAAGCGTGCTTGTGTTCCTTGTCGAAGGTTTTCTGGCTAAACTAGAAATGAAACCTGACAGGAGAAGAAACAGCCCTGTCTTCCAAACGGAAACATTTCCACAAGCAGTTTTTGAAAGCACAACTCAGGCCCCAACGACCTGACTTAAGAGCAGTCCTTAAAATATGAACAGAAAATAATTAAGGTGATGCCTAATATTTGGTACACAGAGGAAGCTGGTTCGGAGTATGAAAGCGTTCAAATTAACAATGAACTCTTAACTGAGCAGACCAGATGCTTTTCAGTGTAGCAGAGAATACCCCTGGGGAATGAGGGGGGGCCTGGCAGATACTCACTGCAGGGGCAACAAACCCCTCCTGACTACAGGCAGGCTCAGTAAACAGGGCCGGACAGCAGATGGTGAGATGCCTGGCTTATAAAAAAAAGGACACACTCTCGCAAATATTCCCCTGACTGTACCAAGCGATAACCCAGAAGGTGAACTTATTGGCTACACTGATACCACCTTCAGTCCCATGCTGAAGCCATGTGAGTTCTGCTGGGGAATTGAGGTGGCAGGGAGAGGCCGTCCCAGCAGTCCCACCCCTCAAGGAAGCTCGCCTGGTGGGCACACGGGGGAGAGGGTCCTTTCACACGACAGCCCCACGATTATGGAACCTGCCCCCCCCCCTGCAGATCTTTAGGAAGCAGCTGAAGACAGTTTTATTTACGAAGGCATCTAGTTAAGTGATTAGCAGTCCTGAATTGTGACTGTGCCGTAACATGGACTGCCGGGAGTGCGACCGTGTCTGCCTCAGGGCATCCGCACGGACAGCCTGTCTGCAGGGAGCCCCTAGACAGAAGCATCTCTCCACAATCTGGAATACTCCAAAAGCCCCAGCTACAGGGAGGTCCTACGTGTGGGGGGACAGCAGATGCCCCCATATGGTGGTGGATTTAATCCCCTCCATGCAAAGCAGCTATTGGCACACACTCACACCCCGGCTGTCCAACACTCCTCCGTCCGAACAAAGGTACCCGAAATCATATTCTGTAGCACAACTGTGTGGCTCTTAGCCCTGAACCAGACATAGAAACAAATAATCAGCCTATTGTCTTAAACCAGCCAAGTCCTCTTTCTGGTTGGTTTGTGGTAGGGTTGCCAAACTCCTGGTGGGGCCTGGAGGACTCCCAGAATGACAGCTACTCTCCAGAGGGCACAGCTTCGTTCCCCTGGAGAAAATGGCTGCTTTGGAGGGTGGGCCCTGCGGCCCTCTATCCCGCTGGGGTCCCTCCCCTCCCCCAATCCCCACCCTCTCCAGGCTCCACACCCCATAAATCTCCAGGCATTTCCAAACTCAGATCTGGTGACCTTAGTTTGGGGTCTGGACAATTGGGAAAGGCAGTTGAGGACTCTGTTGGGAGCTTCACAGATTGTTGTCCAAAGCAGATGATTCACCAGAAGAGCCAGAGGTGGCCTTGGGCCCAGAATCTAAGGTTGCCAACCGCCAGGTGGCAGCTGGAGAGCTCCTGCTATTACAACGGATCTCCAGGCAACAGAGATCAGTTCTCCTGGAGAAAATGGCTGCTTTGGAAGGCAGATTCCATGGCACTGTAGCCTGCTGAAGTCCCCCCCCCAACCCCATCCTCCTCAGGCTCCAGAAATCTCCAGGTATCCCCCAACCTGGACCTGGCAACCCCAGCCCAAAAGAATGAGCTCCAGACTGTGTTCCGGAGGCCCCTACCTCTTTGTCATTCGCCTTCCAGTAGTAAAAGGCTCCGATGGCCCCGAAGAGGAGCAGGAGGGCTCCGCCGATGAGTGCCACGGCCCCGATCCTGAGTAGCCGACCTGTACTAGAGGGCTTCGCCATCACGGCCGAATAAGCCTGGAGTGAGAAGGGTGAGAGGTGGGGAGTCGAGGGCCATGGTCCCCCCTCCCTTTCCACTGTCCAAGGGACAAACTTTATTGCCTCACATCATCCCACTTGGCACTCAGGTCCAGATTCGGAAGAGGAAATCCCTGCCTGCTCCCTCCACATCCCAAGGACGGGTTCGGAACCTGCGTCCTTGTGTGTGTGCGTGTGTGTGTGCATGGACAGGAGCAAAGTGAGGAGGGTTGCCAGGTCCAGGCTGGGCAACTCCTGGAGATTTGGGGCTGGAGCCTGGAGAGGACAGGGACCCCAGTGGGGCACAGTGCCATTGAGACACACACACACACACACGCCCTCTTCTCCAGGGGAAAGGGAGATCAGCTGTGATTCTGGGAGCTCTCCAGGCCCCACCTGGAAGCTGGCAAGCCGAGGGTTGCCAACTCTGGCTTGGAAAATTCCTGGAGTTTGTGGGGTGGAGACTGCTGCTGAGGGACCTCAGTGGCGTCTAGTGCCACAAAATCCACCCTCTGAAGCAGCCCTTTTCTCCAAGGGAGCTGACCTCTGTAGGCTGGAGACCAGCAGTAATTCCAGGACATCTCCAGCCACCACCAGGAGGTTGGCAAGCCTAGCTCAGATGTCAATCATTGGGGGCTAACAACACACACAAGAGCGCAAGGGAGCCCCAGGTGCTTTGTGTTCCCTACCAAAAAGCCCCTGGAGGGGATCCTGAAGAGGGGAGGGAGGAAGAACCCCCCCACAAGGAGTGCTCCCCCTCCCCGCTGCCCTGCCCCAAGTGCCCCACCTCAGCTGCTCCCTTCCGGCAGGTCCCAGGCCTGCAGTCAGGCGGGGAGGTGGGATGCCAGGGCTTGGGCGGCCAAGGAGGGCCCTGATGCATCAGCAGGGGCTCCAATGGCACTCTGCACATGCTTGGCACAACTCTTTTCTGAAAAACAGCCAGCAGCGCTTCCCATCCAAAGCGAAGCGCACTCTGTGCGTGCTCAGAGTTCCTCTGCTCGAATTTTTTTTATTTTCCCCGGACAGAAGTGGCTTTGTTTGATGGAAGCAAAAAAACTGTATCCGGAATACCAGGGCCGTGACACAGAGGCAGGCAATGGCAAACCACCTCTGAAATGCCTCTTCCCTTAAAAAAAAAAACCCAAGTCTAGCTCACCACCTAGTGGTACAAAATGGTAAAAGAGCTAGAACTCCTGGCTGCTAGACAGTCTTAGGAGCACCTGGCTATGCTACACACACTGCCATGCGATAATTAACTAGTATGTATGGTTGCCAACCTCCAGGTGGCACCTGGAGATCTCCCGCTACCACAATTGCCCTCCAGACAACCAAGGTTAGTTCCCCTGGAGAAAATGGCTGCTTAAGACAGTGGACTCTGTGCCATGATACCCCGCTGGGGTCCCTCCCCTCCCCAAACCCCACCCTTTCCAGGCTCCACCCTCTAAATCTCCAGGTATTACCCAACCCAGCTGGCAGCCCGAGAGATCTGATTGGCTGTGAAGACGACATCCAGACTGGTTCCGCGGCAGCTGCCACCACCCAGTGCTGCTTTTATTCCCTCACATACTCCTCTCTCATGGGGTGTATTTTATTTTGTAAAAAATTGAAATTTAAAATTACCGCTCTTGTCCCCTGCATTTAGCTTCCTCCGAGTAGTCCCACCTCCCATCGATGTGCACCCGTCGCCCTGTGTCAGAGTCCCAAAGGCGCCCAGGGGCTGCAGAGGGCTGGGGAGGGGGCTCTGCTCCAGGGAGTGGGATTCATCCTGCACTTGATCTCTCTGTGTGTCATCACAATGTTGTGACCCTGTGAGCCTTTCTGAGGAGGAGGAGAGCGCCTCTCTCAAGGGAAGGCTCGGGGGACTCTTCAGGGTTGCCTGCCTGGCCACACTGACGGGTGGGGCTGCACACAAGTGCTCCCTATGCAAAGCGGGAGGTTCCAGGATTCTACCCCCACCCCACCCCCGGGGCATCCCGTGCTCTGTCCTGAAAGTCAGAGCCTCAGATGCCTGGTGGGCTGGGCTGTGGGGGCCAGAGTCCCTGGAAAGCACTCTCCAGCGTGTGAGCCAAGGACTGCCATGGGCCTCAAACTCAGTGTGACAGGCACCTTCCCAGGAGAGTTGGTTCCCCTCCCCGAGTGCCAGCCTGGTCCACCGCCCTCTTCTCACTGGCACACCGCCGGAGGGCTGCTGCAGCTCTGCCGACTCCCATTCCAGGAGCTCCCGAGGAAGAGGGGGAGAGGGGCTGTGCGGCTCAGTGGCAGAGCCTCTGCGTGGCAGGCGGAGGGGAGGTCCTTTCCATCTCCTGCAGCCTGGCCCTCCTTCGAACTGGAGATGCTGCCTGCCTGGGGCCAGGCTGCAGGAGATGGAAAGGACCTCCCCTCCGCTCTGCCACTGAGCAGCACAGCCCCTCTCCCCCTCTCCCTCGGGAGCTCCTGGAATGGGAGTCGGCAGAGCTGCAGCAGCCCTCCGGCGGTGTGCCAGTGAGAAGAGGGCGGTGGACCAGGCTGGCACTCGGGGAGGGGAACCAACTCTCCTGGGAAGGTGCCTGTCACACTGAGTTTGAGGCCCAGTGAAGTGTCCCCAGGGCAGTCCTTGGCTCACAAGCTGGAGAGTGCTTTCCAGGGACTCAGGCCCCCACAGCCCAGCCCACCACGCATCTGAGGCTCTGACTTTCAGGACAGAGCACGGGATGCCCCGGGGGTGGGGTGGGGGTAGAATCCTGGAACCTCCCGCTTTGCATAGGGAGCACTTGTGTGCAGCCCCACCCGTCAGTGTGGCCAGGCAGGCAACCCTGAAGAGTCCCCCGAGCCTTCCCTTGAGAGAGGCGCTCTCCTCCTCCTCAGAAAGGCTCACAGGGTCACAACATTGTGATGACACACAGAGAGATCAAGTGCAGGATGAATCCCACTCCCTGGAGCAGAGCCCCCTCCCCAGCCCTCTGCAGCCCCTGGGCGCCTTTGGGACTCTGACACAGGGTGACGGGTGCACATCGATGGGAGGTGGGACTACTCGGAGGAAGCTAAATGCAGGGGACAAGAGCGGTAATTTTAAATTTCAATTTTTTACAAAATAAAATACACCCCATGAGAGAGGAGTATGTGAGGGAATAAAAGCAGCACTGGGTGGTGGCTGCTGCAGCGGAACCAGTCTGAATGTTGTCTTCACAGCCAATCAGATCTCTCGGGCTGCCAGCTCTGGGTTGGGTAATACCTGGAGATTTAGAGGGTGGAGCCTGGAAAGGGTGGGGTTTGGGGAGGGGAGGGGAGGGACCCCAGTGGGGTATCATGGCACAGAGTCCACTGTCTTAAGCAGCCATTTTCTCCAAGGGAACTAATCTTGGTTGTCTGGAGGGCAATTGTAGTAGCGGGAGATCTCCAGGTGCCACCTGGAGGTTGGCAACCATACATACTAGTTAATTATCGCATGGCAGTGTGTGTAGCATAGCCAGGTGCTCCTAAGACTGTCTAGCAGCCAGGAGTTCTAGCTCTTTTAGCATTTTGTACCACTAGGTGGTGAGCTAGACTTGGGTTTTTTTAAGGCAAGAGACGTTTCAGAGGTGTTTTGCCATTGCCTGCCTCTGCGTCACAACCCTGGTATTCCTTGGAGGCCGCCCTCCCAAATACTAGCCAAATAAGACCCTGCTTAGCTTCCAAGATCTGACGGGATTGGGCTCGCCTGGGCTATCTGGGTCAGGGCACCTTACAGATCTCCAGCAGCCACTCAGAAGCTCTTCCAGGTAGGAGCGCTACTCACTTTCTCCACGCGGGAGACTCCTGGCATAGAGGACATCCCCCTGGGTCAGAATTCCAAAGGTACTTAAAGGGGTTGGGGACCCCCCCCCCCCCCCCGCTCTATATTCTTCCAGGGTTAAGAAACAAATACCTCCAAATTCTCAGAACGATGTGGGGTGGGGAGTTAGGGTTGCCAAGCTCTGGGGTGGGAAACCCCTGGAGATGGGTGGGGGTGGGGCTATC